CATTATTTCATGCCGTCACACCGCCTGCAACTTTACGAGGCGCAGGCAAATTCAGCCTCACATGGAATACTGTTCCCTATTCAGGGCCGGGGCAGTCCAGTGCCAGCTCCTTCCATTTGATCGCATCCAGCGCAAAGCGGTTCGTTTCGTCGGTGAGCGAGCACTTTATGATCGCCTTGATTCACTGGTGCTGCGAATAGATATTGCATCTCTTTGCGTGTTCTATAGTATTTACCATGGTGAGTGATCAGAGAAATTGTTTCGACTAATTTCAGCCGCTTAATTTCACCATCGCACATCGCGACTGAATCGAGATACGATTAGCGGTCCATTACTGTGCGATTTACAAGAAGTTTTCTTTCTAGCACTATTTTCTTGTTGATTCGACTACCACCAGCGATTTTTCCGGACCAGTATGACTTAGAGATATTCAAGAAAAGAGCCTACTCTTTCTTAAAAGCCGTCAGCTCAAGCGCAGAAGAGAGAATGAACGTTCCAATGATTTTTCGGTAAAGGTGCACAACGCCACCATTCCCGCGCGGTAGCAAAAAGGCGCGGGCCAATGGCGTTGCGCAAGCCTTCAGATTTTAATCAGTTTAACTACTTTTAATCTAAATAAAAGTATACAAAGTTTACTGTATGAGTTCATAGTAAACCTGTAGTTACTAATAATTAAAACAGAATTTCTAACGAAAAAACAATATTAATTAAACAATTGTTAATCAGTTGAAACTCGAATGCAATAATCACAGGATAGTCAAAACACCGATCCTTAAAATATTTATAATTGAGCTTCTTTAATCAATGTAATTACTATTTCACTAGCAGTTATTTTACATGGAATAATTAAATTACAAATATAGTAGATAGTAGTGCGTTAAATCATTAGTTAAGATTTCATCTGAAGATCGAAGCTCGTGCGGCGACATATAAGTACATGAAAAAAGTAAAAAATGGTCAAATTTAAAAATCCTAACAAAAGCCGGACAGGCTGGACACCGTTTAATTTGCCCAGTCACGCAACAAAAAGCCTGACTATGTCCGGCTTTATCCGGACGCTTGGAAACGCGTCTTATTAAGATAAATATTAACCGAAAGCATTATATTGTAATGTGTGTAATGGAAATTCGATCTTGAGTTATTCTGTTGAATGAAAGCTTATTAAGATACAAAATTTATTTAAAACAAAATCGTTCGTGCTATCCACACGAAAAGAAGCATAAAGAGGATATCGATTTTAATTTCAAAAAATAATAAACTCACAACCCAATTCACTTCACTCTGATATCTTCTACTCCCCCCTCTCACGTAACTCTCCACTTTTATTGTTTGTTCATTTTATTCCAAAACTCTTGTGGCTTACAGAAAATCCAACACGCACACAAGGTTTAATTTTACATGCAAAAATGTAAAAAAAAATCATCAAAATATAACAAACGAATTAATAGGTACCACTTATGAATTAATAATTAAAAATAATAATCATAAATTAAACAATTATTCAATATTAGTGTTATAAAATCTGTAAGCCTTTATCAGGGCGTGTTGAGAAATTGAAATACGAAAATAAAATATTGAAATATGAGTATAAGAAGAAAAAGGTCGCAATCATACAATGTCAGGCTATGAAATATTTTGTCATATTAATTTATAATGCAATGTCAATAAAAGCTAATTACAATATATGTCCATAATTAAAATTACATCTTAAATACAAAGTAATAAATAGTACATAGTCAAGCAAATTAAATTGTCGAATTATATTGTCTTATTATCGATAATTTTATTAAAAAGATTCAGCAGACGTGTCATACTGTCTGCAAATATGTCAATTTCATCGTGTTGAGTGAGTATGCCTATTAGTATCAATTCTCGATTTGTTGGTGCATAGGCAGCACGTTTGGTACGTGTAACCGGTCTGCCTAGGAGACGCGGCCTACGGCGCGGAGCCACCGTTCCTCCATTATCTCTCTGCAGGTACCTGGGCACCAACAAACCGATTCTCTCAACAACCGACTGGCAGTCCAACTTGTGGTGAATTATAAAAAGATAATATCTTATCTTTAATAATATACTAATAGTTGACATCACCCTCCTAAACATTAGGGTTTCTAAATCAACCATACCCAAAACGAATAGGAAAGGGATTTTAATACCTTTACTTCAGCCATGACAGAAATCTGCGTTCTTCGAATAACCTTTTAAGTTCCCTTTTTATAGATCTGGCTTTCTGCATTAGTCTCTCATCTCACTATAAATTCTGTTCTTCTCTGGAACGCACTCCTTTTAAAATTAGAACGGCTAGTAATCTTATCAAGGGGAAAGTTCGCGATCATTTATCAAATAAACTGGCAGTCATCTCATTAGTAGCCCACGGGTGATATGTATTGGTTATGTATGGGTATATATATATACATATATATATATATTATTTTACTTCATACATATTTACTTTAATTTATATGTTCATCATCCAGGTTGACTGGTAGAGAATACCTTAGATGTTGAGTCTGCTCAAACAGTATACATACTACTAGAGTGGAGACATTATTGTAATGTGCATTATGGTTACTTAATCACAAAAGTGTGATTAATATTTTAATGATTTCAAAATAATGTGATAAACGAATTCACTTTTAAACAGGTTGATCAAAGAAATTTTGATAAAAGAAACAACCCACTTAAGAGGTCTTAGAAAAGTGTATCCGATGTTGATCACGTAGAATCACTTCAGCCTCAAATAATAGCATTGAGGAAAATTAGTCTCGAAGGTTGAAAAGATGTCTTTTTTATAGAATATGGTTGACAAACGAGCACGCAGTCCTCCTGATGGTAAGTGGATGCTGTGGACAATAGGCATCCAAATTTATCCTTGATTAAGAATCAAAATGCAGATGCAGTCACCACTGAAGACTAATATGGAATGTCTCGCATCCCGTAAAAAGGGTCTCCGGTTTTCTACACTCGCCATACGAAACGCAGCTGCTAATTTACGCTTGTATTCTGTGAGAGCGTGGCCTTACCTTGGTCGAATCTACCCATTCGTGCTACAACCATAAAGTAGCTGCATCGCAACCAATAATAGTTTTATAACATTCGTCAAATATTTGCAAGGGTTTGTAATTCTAAAATAGGAATTAATTCATGAAGTTCCGGGTATCTTCTTCTTCCTTATTTAATGGCCCATTAAATTCCACTGGTGGGCATGGCTCTCTCCCAATATAGACAGGCGATGCCTCCCAGATAGTTAGGCTGATGGATCTAATCTTTTCATAAATTAAAATGTTGCATTAAAAAGAAATCATGTTAAAACACAATTTATTATACACCAATACAGTTTGAGGATTTTATTTCCAAATGTGAAATAAACAGATGATATTTAATAATCTTATAAAAAACTTATTACTATATTCACGTAAACGGAATTCATTAATGTAATACACTCAGAGTAAAGTTTAACAATTTATACAAAATTTCATGGCATATAAATTGTTCAAGAATTTAAATACTAATAATTTCTTAATTTCTAAAAATATCATCATCGCTTTCCGTAAAAAAAGCAATTTTAAAATTTTCGCGCGTAGATCAGAATTACGCTTTTAGTAATTTCAAAAAGAAAACCTACTCGAACATAATGAACCATTTGATACAGTTCAGCTATACCTACTCGCTTATCTGTGGACTTGTGCGCGTATTGATAAATATGTCTTTAACTACCCTGATACGAAACGATTAGTGCTGTGTTTGAAACTGAATGATGCTTTTGTCAACTGATGATGAACTGATTTGCAAGTTACAAAAAGGCTTGTTAAAGACAAAGTTATTTTTGTTGTAAAGTTTTTCGCTTACAAACAAATTTGAATAAATTATTTTTAACAAATACCTATAAGAAATCCGTCAAGAAAAACAATTTACAAAACGCAATTTGATCCTGGTTCGTCATCGATACAAAAACTTTTCATTTCACGACTAAAATAATTTAACGTTTCCATAAAACTTATAACAATTTTCGTCAAAGTATAGTATGTCTAAAGAACTTTTATCAGTAATTTATAAAGTATTCCCAGGCAGTATTGCTTTTCTCCCTGATAGTCCTTTTGCTACCAGCCTTTTGCCTATTCTGTCGCTAAATGGTATCAGTGCTGCTGTGTTGCGATCTGAATGGTATAGACAGCCAGTTCGATTATAGGCTGTGAGGAATTTCGTCTTAGTCTTCAGCGGTGACAACGTATCTACGGCGTATGTTACTTCAGTTTTTAAATAATAGCAATAGGCAATCAAGAGCCGTGGTAGCTCAGACGGTTAGTACTCACTGTAAATTTCACAGTACGTGAGCAACCCGGATTCGATCCCCGCCGGCACCAATGAAATTGTTAAGTACAATTTTAAGTGCTGATTTACAACACGCTCGGTGATCATGAGGAAACCTGCATGTCTGAGAAATAAGAAAAAAATATTTCGAAGATATGTAAAGTACGTCAACACGCATTGTGGCAGCGTGACGGATATTTCCATGCCTTAAAAGCCTCGCAAAATGAGAGGAGGTCTGCGGCCAACAGTTGGACGTATATAGACTGTAACTTTAACTTTTAATATGCTAGCTAACTAGCTGTCGAGAACAAACATCCCCAAAATTATTTTTTTATATTTGAAAATATTACTTTTTGTAATATTTTTAATATCATTTTCTGCTATGAATTAAAAAAAATAATTAAATTTTATTCAAAAGCTAGATGGAGCGACGATCTGTGCAAGGCGGTTTGCAGGAACTGGAGGCCGGAAAGCCGGAAATCGGGCTAAGTGGCGCGACCTTGGGAGAGGCGTATAATTCATATTTATTCTAAATGTTATATTTTTTTATTATTTTCGTAGCACAACGTGTTTACTGAATTAATTGGTATTTACGTGAATACAGTAAGTATTCTTTAAAAATATATTTACAAATCATATAAATTGATTTCTAGTATCAAAAACATCTGACAATGCTAATATTTATTCGTCTAGTCTGCTGCCACTCTTTCAGGAACGTAAAACTCGCTTTGATCTTCTTCCGATGGTGTAAGGCTTATCTTTTTCTGTAAAATTAATAAAATAATCAATTTTAAAGTTTATTTTAAGTCCTCATATATATCGTATGACCAATGAACAATGAAAGATAATACGGCAATAATGATATCAGGCACGTCCCTCCTAATATGTTCAGATGCACATTACCTTTGTGAACATTTTACGTGTAATGAAGTATTTAAGATGGTGATTTCATCATCTATCTATCTCTATCTCCAAGTTTCGTCGATCCTTCTCGTAACCGCTGCTACCTGTTATGATACTTACAGGAAAATAAACAAAAAATATAGCCCGCTATTATACATGACTGATATCACTCATTAAAAAATATTATCAATTTTGGAAGAGCAAAGAAAAAATAATTTACACCGTCACCATACATGATTGATATCTAAATATATATAAAAATTATTGGTAAAGTAAAACAGAAATTGAGACAAACTGAAATAAGATAAATAAGACAATATATTGTTAACGTAAATTGATCTATAATCTCAAATATTGCCTCAGAATTAGGAAGCAGACAACCCGAGAGCTCGTTACGCATGGCAACTGTTGATATTATTCATCAACTTTATTTTAGAAGTACTTACACTGAGAAATATCTTGTAAACACGTTTGTGTTTACACATTCATTAATACTATGCCGATTGGTAAAATAAACAACACAAACACATTTTCGAAGATGTTTTTACAAAGAAAACAATCCAGGGTTTATAAAACAGCTCCGCAATATCATGGCAACGTAAGATGTTCTATTTTTTAAAATTCTGAATATCAAAAAAGAGCAAAGGCGATTGACGAGAGTACTTGTGGTATTCGATAAATGATGTTTTGTTTAAATAATACTAGTATTTTTGCGGATTATATCGCGTATATTAACTTTTTTATATACCTGACGTTTCGAGCACTTTACAGCACCCATGGGCACTAGGAAGGACATTACCATAGGTTCTGTAAAGTGCTCGTAACGTGGGGCATATAAAAGAGTAATACTCGCGTAGTATACGCGATATAATCTGTAAAAAACTAGTATTATTTAGATATGTAGTGTTCGCGTAAATATAAGAAATCATAATGATGTTATGGTTATGTCATATTTGGTGCACGTATCAAATAACAGTTCCAAAAATACAAAAGTAATTTATGATTAGTTTCATGTTTAAAATAGAGTTCTTTTCAATATCCCGCGGAACATTCGTGACCTGAAATGTAAAGTATCGGATTGGACACCAAATGTTGAATTTCATTGTTTCAATTTCCCGTGGTGTTTCAAGTTCAACATATGTGCAATTAATGTTAAATTTCGCGAACAGAATGTGGCGCCGTGTCTAAGGGATTTCTGTCATGAGAAAGACTTTTCTTAAACCTGAAACTATCAATAATATTATAACATCGTTGTGTGATAAGACTATATTATAACTTACCTAACATGGGACAGGAACTTTCTATCACCTTAGTAATTTTTATTAGCAGTAGTTATATATATTGTGTTTATATCATTGTTCACATTACACATTATAAACATTCTGGGAAAGATGGAAGGGTTTGCGTCCTGACGGCAGAGCCGGCATGTATTTAATGGACGACACACACGGTCAGTTCAACTGATCCTTCCAATTGATTAGTTAAAGCTAAAACTGTTGATATTGTTTAAAATATTGGATTTACGATTTATCGATAAATAAACTCATATATAAAACTCCGATATTGATATATTTATAATTATCGATTTACCGAAAATCTAATATTTAAAAAAATATCAACAGTTTAGTTTGAACTGATCAGTTGGAATGATTAGTTGAACTGACCTGTGTGGCAAACATAAGAATTTTCTCTTTTTAGACTATACTAATTTATATATTTTTCCCCGGATCGGCGAGTTATCAAATTACTTTTTTATTTTTTTGTTGTTACCAGAAGGACGCTGCCGCCCAACTCCTAATTTGTATTCCTCAGTCACCTCCTGCGACACCCACGGAAATATGCAGTAGTGGATATTCTGTAGACTTCTTTATTTGAACTTGGCTGCAGGTGTTTATGTCCAAGTCTATGAACATGAATATTTGCAGCCAAGTTCACTACTTTCAGCGTTCAGCTTTCAGTTTACTATCAGGTCGACTGCAAGTTCGGTTGATATTTCAGTTTCATTAAAAAAGCTCTTATCGTTACAATTGCATAATACAGAGTAGAGCTAAGTTGCAGTTATCTTATGGTTGTAGCACGAATGGGCCGGCTCAGTCAGGGTAGGACAACACCCTCACAGAATACTAGGGTAAAATAGCAGATAAAGGCTGTTTAAGTGTGTTCCGTATGCTGTGTGTAGAGAACCGGAGACCCATTTTACTGGAAACGTGGCATCGCAGCCTCATTGATGACAACGAATTTGCATTTTGATTCTTTATTGAGGATAGATGTAGATGTCAATGTACCACAGCATCCACTTAACATCAGGTGGACTGTGTGCTTGTTTTTCAACCTAAATCTATTAAGAAAATATAAGTGAAACTGACCTGTTTCTGGCGCTTCATCTCTGCCTGCAGGGAGCGCAGGATCCTGTATGCCAGGAACTCGCTCGCGTGGCGCACCTCGGCCGCGTCCGCGTGCACGCGGTTGTCCACCACGGCGCCGGCCAACCCCTCCACCGCATCGCCCCAATTCACTTTCACACAAGAGTTACATCATACAGGAGCGAAATCCAGTGTCAACAAAAAGCTAAGTTGTTATGTAACATAAATAGCAACTTAATGCTGCTGTATTTCGTATGGTGAGTTTAGAGAACTGGAGACCCTTTCCACCGGAAACAAGTCATTCTATTCTTAATCCTCAGGAGTGACAACGTATCTTTATATTTAAAAAAGATGTTTTCTCGCAACACATTCATGAATTTTATACTGAACGCGTGTAAAGATGGCGATAACGGTTGAATTTATTAAATAGTTAAAGTTCTTTGTAATATATATATATATATACCGGGTGGCCCATAAGTCCGTTGAAATGTAAAAAAATAATTAAAAAAAAACTAATGACATTATAAGAAAAAGGTTTTTATTTTGTCATAATCCTTATAAAATGGGAATTATTTTTTGAAAATTACATCATCTAAATGTAATCCGTTACGATCGCGGCACTCCTGTAAGCGACGTTTAAAATTATCCATCAATCAGGACGTCAATTGTCCGCGGGTTGGTTTCGTACACTTTAGTCTTAAGATAACCCCATAAGAAAAAGTCCATTGGGGTCGGATCTGGACAACGTGGTGGCCAAGGAATATCTCCTCTTCGAGAGATCACTTTATTAGGGAAAAGTTGACGGACGACCGGCATAGCGACGTTAGAGGTATGGGCAGTTGCTCCATCTTGTTGAAACCAGGTCCGCGTATTGAAGCCTGGAAAATTCTGCAACTATGGTGTAAAAAAAGTCCTGGATCATAGCTACATACCGTTGTGAAGTAACAGTAAGCGCGCGGCCTCTGCGTCCTCAAAAAAGTAAGGGCCTATAATGCCATGCGCTGACATAGCCGCCCAAACTGTCACTTTAGGGCTATGTAAGGGCTTTTGATGTTTGCGATTTGGATTTTCGCAACTCCAGTAGCGACAATTTTGCTTATTGACATGGCCGTTGATGTGAAAGTGAGCCTCATCAGAGAATAACACGTTATTAAACGAAGTAAAGCGGTTCAACATTTCATTTGCGAAATTTAGTCTGTGGATAGTGTCAGTATCTTTTAATTCCTATACTATCTGAATCTTGTACGGGTGAAGATGTAAATCTTTCTTTAAAATTCGCTGTAACGATGTTCAGGGTAAGTTTAATGCACTGGAACGCTTACGAGTAGACTGGGTAGGATTTTCACGAATTGAGTGTTTCACTACATCGATGTTTTCTTCCGTCCATGATGTCCTTGGTCGACCTGACCGTTGTTTATCCAACGTCGAACCACTCTCTTCGAACTAAATAACCCAGTTCCTAATCGTTTGAACACTGTGTCGGAATGTCTTTAAAGTTGCGTAAATTCTGATATTCTCGAAATTTACGCCGCGCAATGGTAGCCGAATCATTGTTTCGATAAAACTCGCGCACACAAAATGCACGGTCCGCAACGGTGAAACGCTCCATGGCGACTGAATTCCCAGAAACCGTCGGTACTCCCCCCGCACCGCGCGCGCCACTCATGCGCGCCTTTTGTATTTTATTCGAAAATTACATTTCTAACGACTTATGGGCCACCTTGTATATAATTTTATGGGTTAAACTATTAGTCAATGTTTTTATTAAAACACAAATATATAAAGTTGAAATCGTTATGTATGTGTTAGTTTCAACGATTTGAATGATTTATTTTCTTCAGCATAAACCAATATCATCACCCTACTCAAAGTAAATACTTATTATTTGTTATCTCGTTAAGAATAATTAATATAAAAAACAACAGTAAATTGTTAATACATAATATTTCAAAATGATTCCACAGTCCTTAAGCAGTAAACTCCAGTCCCGCGTCGGAGTTGACACACAGCATTTTTTTTGAACTCACGCCTGATGGTCCTAACCCTCAACAAGTAATTCATTGTAACATAAGTAATGAAGTCACCGTGTATATACTACCCACTGTTGCGCCCAGGGTTCCTCTCTCTTCAGAGAGGTTTATGGAGCAGTGACTCCGCCGCGTTGCTACAGTCTTAGAATTTTTTATTCATTACAGCCTTTCAAAAATCCCAATTGGACTGAAGGCAAGCCTTCCCCCTGGATTGCTTCACAGACATACTAGCCATAGTTGCCACGCTTGGCAAGAGGGTTGCCAACGTCAGTTTTTTTTATTTATTCGTGTTGTTAGCAGGTGTTCCTCCTTCATTTCCCTCTGTAAGACGCTTCTTATGACATCAACGGGTTCTCTTAAATCACCAAATACTCAGGGTATATAGTAGTATGATATTGATATATATGATACTATCATACTATCATATATGATATATATGATAGTATGATAGATATAAATATAGCAAGTGCTAACTAAGAAGCTGCAGAACAAAAATAATAAATAAATGAAAATAAGGCGATTAGTTTAATTGTATAGTATTGGTACCAACTTGATTGTCTCAGTCGAGGCAGAGTCACGATGCCGAGCGTTATATCCATGCCTTTTTGTACTTTCTGATTTACAGAGCGCGACAACAATTTGGCAGCTGTGTTCACCATCTAAAAATTGAAAAAGAATAACTCGTTTTTCAATATAAACATGTACGAGATTTCATTACATCTCTCTTTTACACATATTTTATTTTATTCTCACATAGTTTAATTTTTAAAACACGTGTATGTGAGATATTATAGATCAGACCATAAACTATATTAAGTGTTTATCCTAGTCTAGATAGTATTTAATGGTTTTTAGGTAGTTTAAACACACATATACACATACGTATAAGAGCTTACTTATGATTTTAATAAAGTGAAATAAACCTCAAGCAACTTTCTTCTTTCTGGCAAATAGCTCGGCACGGAAACCGCATCTGGTAAGTCTTCTACTCGATCTATAAACGTCACCTCCGCTAGTTTCGTCTTGGATGGCTGTAATTAATCATGTGTTTAAGCTTCTGTGTATATGAAAATGATAACTTATTTTTTTTAATAAAGAGGAGCGGGATGAATGTCAATTTTTTGTCCAAATATCAGAATTACCTGCGAGTGCTATTCTTTTAACAGACTGTCTGAGACTGATGAAGTTCTTACGGTCGATTAATACTACAAAATCTACACAAAAATGACAAATCCAAACCCTAGACTGTAGTTAAGAAGCAGCAGTTCCAGTTTTAACGTATCAGCTCGGTGACTGCCAACTCGTCTGCCTAAAATCCCCAAAATTAATGCATTTTCGTTTTCGTCGACGCCTCTTTGGGCTCCTCGGACCATTGTCTTGTCCGGAGAGTGGTGCCACTCACGCTGAAATCGCAGTTGCTTTCTGCAGGCTGCCGCCGTGTTTGGCACTATAGGTCAGCCGATTGGGATGGGATGCGGTCTTTCTATGCATCCTACCCGTGGGGGCGGGTTTGCTTCTCGCTCGACGATCCCAACGTTGTTGCGAATTCTGTCGCTGATGTGGTACTTCAGGGTATGGAACTTTTTATTCCTTCCTCTGTGGTGCCCATTGGAGGCAAATCTCAGCCATGATTTGGTCGCTCCTGTAAAATAGCATCATACTATAAGCAGGAGTGCTACCAAGCCTGGGCTGACGCACCAACGTCCCGGGATGTAAACACCAGCGCTCTTAAAAAGAAGTATTATTCCGCCTCTAGGTCCTTTAAAAGGGTCATTGCCAACGCAAAGTCAGAGCACATAGGCAGAATTGGCGAGAAACTAGTTCGCCTTCCTTCTGGAACCCGGGCATTCTGGTCTCTCACCAAGGCTGTCCAGGGGAATTTCTGTCAGTCATCTCTTCCATCTCTGCACAGGGAGGACGACTCGCTGGCCCATACCGTAAAGGAAAAAGCCGATCTGCTAGGCTCTTTCTTTGCGTCCAACTTGACTCTCGATGACGGGGGGAGTAGGCCTTCGACCATCCCGCGGTGTGAGTGCTCCATGCCAGAAGTGCAGTTCATACAGCGCTCGGTTCGCAAAGCACTCCTCTCCCTGGACATCCACAAGTCGAGTGGGCCTGACGGAATCCCCCCAATTGTGCTGAGGACGTGTGTTCCGGAGTTGGCACCGGTTTTAACGCGTCTTTTCCGGTACTCCTACTCCCTAGGCGTAGTCCCGAAATCATGGAAGGCGGCTTTCGTCCACCCGATCCCTAAAAAAGGCGACCGCTCAGATCCGTCCAACTACCGGCCTATCGCCATCACCTAGTTGTTCTCCAAAATAATGGAGTCGAAGTGAGGAATAAGAAAAAAAAAAAAACAGCGCGGGCACCAGGGGGAGGACCGCAAGAGGAATATTGTTAACTGCCAGCTCATGAGGTACCTTGAGGATCACCAGCTGATTAGTGATCGCCAATACGGTTTTCGCAGTGGTCGGTCAGCTGGTGATCTTCTGGTCTACCTAACTCACAGATGTGCGGAGGCAGTAGAGTCCAAGGGGGAGGCATTGGCCGTTAGTTTGGACATTGCGAAGGCCTTCGATCGGGTTTGGCACAAAGCGCTTCTTTCGAAGCTCCCTTCCTATGGGCTTCCCGAGAAATTGTGCGATTGGATCACCAGCTTTCTTGCAGATCGGAGCATCAGGGTCGTTGTAGACGGTACAAGTTCCGATTACAAGTCTATCAATGCTAGTGTTCCACAAGGCTGCGTGCTATCGCCAACGCTGTTTCTTCTGCATATCAATGATATGTTGCAAACCCGTAACATTCATTGCTATGCAGATGACAGCACTGGTGATGCTCTGTACACCGGCCGTGCCAATATTTCTCGGGAAAACGTCTCCGAGTACCGGGACAAACTTGTGTCTGAAGTCGAGTCTCTGCTGTACAGAGTCTCGGATTGGGGGTGACTAAATCTAGTCCAGTTTAACCCCCAGAAGACACAATTTTGCGCGTTAACCGCTAAAAAGAACCCCTTTGTCGTATCTCCTCAGTTTCCAGGCACTCCCCCTTGTTTCCTCAGCCAGTATCGGAATCCTCGGAGTCGACATATCAAGTGACGTGCAGTTTCGTGGTTACTTGGAAGAGAAGGCCAAATTGGCCTCTAAAAAGCTCGGCGTGCTCAGCGGAGCGGGACAGTATTTCATGCCGGCACACCGCCTGCACCTTTACAAGGCACAGTTTCGGCCGCACTTGGAATACTGTTCCCATCTCTGGGCTGGGGCTCCCCAGTACCAGCTCCTTCCACTTGACCGCATCCAGCGCAGAGCGGCTCGAATCGACCGAGTGCTTTCCGATCGGCTCGATTCACTGGCGCTGTGAAGAGATGTTGTATCTGTTTGCATTTTATTTCGCAAATACCATGGGGAGTGCTCTGAGGAATTGTTCTGATTAATCCCAGCTGCCAAATTTCATGAACGCACTACGCGGCAAACGTCCCGATACCATCCACACCATCTAGATGCTTGGCGGTCCACCACTGTATGTTTCAAAAGGAGTTTTCTTACGTGTACGACCTCTTTGTGGAATAGTTTACCACCGGTGATTTTTCCGGACCGATACGACCTGGGGACCTTCAAGAAAAGAGCTTACTCCTTTCTAAAGAGCCGGCAACGCACCTGAAATTCTCCTGGTGTTGCGGTTGATCATGGGCAGCGGTAGTCACTTAACATCAAGTGAGCCGTATGCTCGTTTTTCCCCTCTTCTATATAAAAAAAAAACGTGCCAAAAAGTCAGTGTTCTAAAGCGCTTTCGAAATAGAATATTTTTCAGGTAAAAATAACGCTTTTTAAATATAAGTGGTAAAGCTACGCTGTCACATAATAAAGCCGCAGCAAAATTGGGCTCAGCCGGGAAAGCACTACGCTGGTGCAGTATACTAGCATGAAATAGCAGCATAATGCTGTTGTGTTTTGTATATTGAATGATGAAACCCGGAGACCTTTTTTATTGATAACGATCTCAGTCTTCTGGATGATGTTCCTTTTATATGAGCCACAGCGTCCACTTACCATCAGGTAGACTGTGTGCTTGTTTGTCACCCTTATTCTATAAAAAAATAGTCGCCACTACCGACACTCGGGGTGCGAAATGAAACGATTAATTCTCTGAGACCGTCTCACGGCATTTTTATCCATTCTATAATCTTTGCTGCGATATTCTTCAATATATTATGAATTATTAAACAATTTACATAAAAATGTAAAACGAACCACAGGCGTCGGTGGGCGGTTCTTTACGCTCTTCAAGTCCACGTCAGTTTCAGTGTCGGGAGGTATCGTAATGATTTCCCCGAAGCCAATAGATGTGTTGTGTTCGTTTGCATAGTGACGGGCTAGTTCTGATGCTATTTGGATCGACCAGCGGGGCTTTCTTGCTTTACTTCTGTGAAATTGTATAAGCAATAATAATGTCCTCCAGACCGAATTTTGGTCACAGTGGCCAGTCTCAACGGAGACTAGTCATCTGCAAGGCAAGATTATAGTACAAGAGTGCGTGCAGTGCACTTTCTATTCCCTCACTCTCATAGTCCGATAGGACAGCAGTTTGACAAGACCGGAGAGAGATTAGGTGCAGGACCAAATAGATAATTATAATACATAAGGCAAACTGAAAGCTCTGTACTCCTGGCTGCTCATAAATGTTTGAATTTCGAATTTGAAAGAAGAGAAACTCATTGATTAAAATAATTGTTGACGGGAATTCGTATGTCAATTGTTTTTTTTTTATCACATATTGAAGTTCATCATCTGTAGCAAGAATGGAATAAACGCGAAAAGATTTTATGGCGATATTTTTTTTTATGATTTTAAAAATTCACTCTCCCTAAGACTGCATTTGCATTGTGCGCCTTCAAATTGCTCTTGGGGGAATCACCTCATTTGAGTACAGTAAATCGGTGGTAATCAGATTTTAATCGTGACCGTGTTTCTCTCCATGATGAAATTGGTAAAGATCGACCGTCATTTGAGATCGGTGGAATGCGGAAAATGTGAAAATGTTGTCAGACGACAAAGTAAAAAGAAAATCGCATGAACTATGAGAAAATTCGAGGAAATTTGGGAAATAGAAATATACGACAAGAAATATAAAGCATGAAATAATTTCCATGTTATCTTCTGAAATCGAGACATTTCTTCGATACTACTACATTAAATAAATTGTTTTATTATTTAATTGATTTGAAGTCAGGTTTTACTTTTATTAAAAGTTTACTTTTACACTTCAATTTTAAGATCAGTAGTGTATATTTATAGACTTTTCCATTCGTTCATCAGCCATCATTAGATTGCCTCATAAGGGGGACATTTGGCTTAGCGTGTGAAACGCTTGGAAAGCGGATTGGCAAACGCAGTTTTTATTTTTTTATTGTTATTAGGGAAACGCTTGTACAGTCACCAGGTTCATTTCCCTCAGTCACTTCTTACAGTATATATTAGGTAGTGGATATTCTTACACATTTTGTTAAATTTTTTGTATTACACTAATTGAACCATCTTCGACTGACATTTCTTGAGACTTATACACATATTTATGTTTGCCATTTAGTATAACATCGTATGATTACTGCCGTGGCTACGTTAGTTCTTTAACTAAAGGTGGTTTCGTAGATTTTAGTCCTTGTGAAATTTATTTATGTAAACTTCCTTCACGATAGAGGTGAAAAACCCTATTATGGGATAACAATTTTTAAAGAATTGTAACATTTTTTTGTGTCGTATTTTGTATTATTTATTCCCGCATTGTATAATAGAAGTACAAACCGTCTCTTCGTTTCTCTCTTCTTAGTTGTCGGATGAAAGTTTAAAAAGAAGACGTGCGCAGCCCTTGAGCGAACAACATTTTCAACGTCACGAAGGAGAAAGTGTACACGTAGTCGGGCAAATTCCATCACAGCAGACTCCAATAACTGAATAAAACGTTTAAACGTTTAAATATCTAAATATATAATCTGTGATAAGATATATATATATATATATATATATTGTGGTATATATAAGTAGATATAGATAATAAATATAGTCTGCAAATTGGTAAATTTTATTAGAAAAAAAAACTTTTAATGATTATAATAGCTAAGTATATCGCAGCGCGCTGTCCCAAAGCATAGAAGTCCGCTAGACTTCATGATTCTTGGAAATACTTATTTACGATTTTTCTGACGCACATAATAGGAACTACATAAGCTCTTAAAATTGCAAAAAACAATTTCAATAGATCGAACTCGGCTTACTAAAGTACTGCTCGGAACGCCATACATTAAAGACCTTTTACGACATTAGAGTAACAAATAGTATTTATGGTTCACCCATCGGTGACCTCTGCATCCGGTGGACAGCAGTGAACTTTCCTAGGCGGTGGGACTCCTTGTGTGCCTAGTAGTCCGTCTGCATGGGTCCCCTTTGATCTATTTCTACTGCCCGGTGCGGTGCGTGCATTGTTGTGTTCTGGGTTTGAGGGGTGTAGAGAGCAAGTATAATTACAGTTTGTACGGCATTCCACCTTAGTTCTTGAAGATGTAGCCACTTACCATCAGGTGGACTGTGAGACCGTTTAATTCAAAATTTTTGTTTTTATTTTTTGTAAAATAATATATTGCCATAAGCCTGTACTCTGTTCACATATTAAACCCTATTTTTTACAGACGGTAAAAAATGTCATCCAGTACAATATTAGTAATAGGTAAAAGAGCCGTACCGTATGAATCCTAGGCGAAAAGGGGAAAATTTTATATGGACGAGGAATAAATACTTCGACTTAGATTTAAAGTGCTTTCATCCAAAAAAAAAGAAACCTAGTATAGCAATGCAAGCACTACAATTTGACGGTAGAAATAAATATAAAGTTGGTACCGACAAAACTCTTGATACCATCCGTACCATCTGGATGACTGGCAGTGCACCACTGTGCGGTTTAAAAGAAGTTTTCTTCCTCGCACATCCTTTTTTTATAGGATAGGAGCACACAGTCCACCTGATGGTAAGTGGTTGCTGTGGCCCATAGACACCTACATCTATCCTCAATTAAGAATCGAATGCCTCGTTTCTCTACACTCTCTACACTCACCATACGAAACACAGCAGCATTAAGCTGCTATTTTACGCTGATATTCTGTGAGAGCGTGGTCCTTTCCCAGTCGAACCGACCCATTTAGTGCTACAACTATATTACTAATATAACTGCAGCATGGCTCTGCCACGTAATATTTAAAGATCGACTACCACCGTAGATTTTTCCGGACCGATACGACTTAGGGACCTTCAAGAAAAGAGCCTACTACGCATTTTTAAAAGGCCGGCAACGCATCTGCAATTCCCCTGGTATTGCAGTTATTCATGGGCGGCGGTAATCACTTGCCATCGATCATCAATCAGGTGAGCCGTATGCTCCCCTATAAAAATAATCTACCCTGACGGGCTCCTGAAAACCACAAGTAAGATTCATGACTAATATTTTTATTTCGAAAAAACTTACCTCATCTAGTAATTTCAATGGAGCGGACGGTAGAACAGTGGCTCTGTCCATCCTGGTACGCGCTTGACTAAGCGTCACGAAAGGATCACCTTGAGTTGAAACAGCGCTCCTCATTGCTTCTTGTGCAAGGTGCTGCGCTAGCTCTGAACACATTCCTTTTGCACCGCGCTTCGACTGTACACATATTTTTTTTAAATTAATGATGTTGTAATTTTGACCATGTATAGTGCCTGTGTTAGAATATCCGCTACCTGATTTAGTCTTGTCTTCGTGTGGTGTCGTAAGAGGTGATAGACAAAAACAAATAGAGACATTCAAGTAGTAGTAATAGACCAGCCATCAGCAACAAAATTGTCGTCTGCAACTTTTGTCATGTAGAATATATCTGTGATTTTTGTTGTTTAGTCTTGATGATATCGTCAAAAGGTCAAGACGCATTCGTTTCATAAATTTAAAAAATATTTTCAAAGAAAATATGCCCAGTTTTGCATTGAGGTATAGTGTATATGTAAGTAGTGTATATGTGTATATATAAGTCACAATATGTAGCACAAAATGAACGTGATTTCGGTTTATTATATATTTACCAAATGATCTTTAAATATTATTATTTCTAGTAGATTGTTCTAGAAAATTTATTATTATTGTAATAAGCGCCCTATGTTATCTAGTAACGTCACTATTTATTTACCGATATGTTAGTGATTGACGACGTGCCAAAACGGATTTTTGCCTTATATTTAGTAACTTCACCTAATGGAAAATAGCTAAAATGTTTTCCAAATAAATATTCTGCGTAGTATTGCTATGTTTCGCTAGAGGGCGTAACAAACGCGCGAGCTCCTCGTTTTTATACAAAAACTAGGAGCTCGCTTTGCATACGCAAATGTTCTCAATGACCGCTCTATAGTATATATATTTAAATCTCTTTGAAACAAACCGGGACTTGGGCAGCAACGTATTCCTAATAAAAAACTAAAAAATAAGAAACGGCGGTTGGCAACTTGCCTGCCCATCGTGGCAACTATAGCAAATATCCCCCTATGTCAATCTATAGGTAAGGCCCATGTTCAGCAGTGGACTTTTAAGTTGTAACGGTAATGTTAGGGGTTGTAATGTAGCGAACTTAATTTTTTCCGTAAACCGATGTTTTTAATTCATACCTTTTCAAATTCCATTCCCATTTTTCTAACAAGCTTAGCGGCTTTCACGTTCCCTCCGTGCAACAGTTTCCAATTTGCAAGTCTCAGACGTTGCAGCTCCAAATCGGTATTATATGCATAGATTTCCGCTTTCCTGTAAATTTTAAAAGAATCGTCAATGAAATTAACACTATTGTGATGGTATATTTGTTCCAATGTTAATGTTTTAAAACAGTAGATTATAAAATGGTCATTGCTGGTGGAATACTAGAAGTATAATCGTATATTTTTTAAGGCAGTCAGTGGTATAGAGTATGTTATTGTAATATTTACTTTTTTTTAAATGCCAAAAAGAGGATAGCTGCGGAGTTTCTGCATTTCTTATCCGATTACAGGAGCTTCATTTAGAAACGTTAGTAGATTAAAAAAAGACATCTGACGAACGAAATTTTATTTCCTTAAAATTATAATGATACAGCCTATTAACTTTTACTGCTGGACTTACCTGGACCTGCCTGCCTCCCCATGGATATATGATGGCCATAGCTTCCACGCGGTTGGCGGTTGGCTTATTTCTTTAGGTCGAAGAAATAAATATAATTCATTTTATTAAATTAAATTACGTAATAGAACCCTTCCTTTTTTTTAAAAAAAAGCTTAAAATTGTATTGAATTTTATAAAACAAATGACTAGCTCATCAGAGATCTTCGATAGTCGAAAAGGTATGTTTGGATTTTCTTTATAATTAAAGAATAGAGTTTAGGGTTTTATAATGATTGAAATTTTAAGACTTTGAAAAAGTAATTTGTTATTTCACTTTTATATAAATGATGAGCAGTTTTATTTTTAGTGTTAATTTTTTACAAATCTCAGTCAGTGCATTAAGTAAGTCTTGCCTGTAATAAATTTCGTGGCGACGGCAGGTAAGAACGACTTGAATTCGAGCCAGCTTTTTTTCCTTTTATTTGAACTTTTTTGTTTAGCATATAGTGATAAAAATCTTTATTTACTTGCAAAGAATAGAAAACACTGACATAGAATATTTTTAACTCAATATAATATAATTGAAATTCGTTTATTCTTTTGCCGCTGGTTCGTTAAAAACCTCCGTCCTGGGAAGAAGCAGCAAGAAATCTAGCGGGGCTTGTTTTATTACTAATTTATTATATTACATATTGCACATTTATGTTAGAAACAACATGGTACTGAACTTCTCATTCTCAGGAGTTATTGTCAATCATGTATTCTTTAATAGTATAATCGAAGTTTTAATCTTCTTGAAATTGGTCCCTGCATATTTCTAGCATTTTGTTGTAATAGCCTAAACATTGCCTTAGTTACAGCCTATACTGGATGATATATTTTACCGTTTGGAAAAAAATAGGGTGTAACATGTGTCTCCGTACACAGAGGGAGAGAGGGAGAGAGAGAGAGAGAGAGCCTATGGTCCTGATATTTTACAAAAAATAAAAACAAAAAATACGTGCGGCACACGGGGACAGCCGCGGTAAAGCTATTGCATAGCATTTTTATCAACTTATGCAATTATAATTATTTATTTATTTTACTTTTGCAGTAAGGGTTTTTTTTTCTTTGATATTAATTCAAGTTTTTTATTTGATAATAATTCAAGTTACACTTTTTGAGCGTGGTGACCGATAAGAAAACAATTTTTTTTTCTTTTATTGAATAAATGAGAAGTTAAAATTGTTTAAAATATTTTTATTATCTTACAATACATGCAGATTATTCAGGAATTTTTATCATTGAAACTATAGGTTTATGGTAATTAACGAGTTCATCCCACAAGAGATAATTTTCTATAAAGTCTGTGTTTATTAAATACTCTAAATTCACGAAAGTTATGCTAGCATGACGACGACTCATATAAATCCAAGGAATATGCTTCTTGCAATAAACTATATTATTGTTTAAATATTTTTATTATCTTAGAATACATGCAACTAGTCTACACGCATACGTCTAGTAGCACGCACACAAACACTGTGCCGAAGTCTGCCGAACTTAAACGACGTTAGACGATGTTAGGTTTTCGGGTCTTAGGTTTCCTTCGTTACGGAATTTCTTGATTCGGTCGCCGCGCTGAAAGCCGCGATAAAAGCTATACAATAGCTTAAAAATTTTTGAATTAAATTAATTAATTAACAAAACCCAAAGAAAAAAAAAAAAAAACGATAAAAAATTAAAATATTTAAAATTGTTGTGTAAAAAAAAAAAAAGGTAAAATCTATCAAAATTCAAACTATATCCACCCTACTTTACGAACGGCAATAAAACAATATAGGTAGGCATCTTTGACTTTGTCACTTCGCAGGGTTACAGGCCAAGGTTAATTTTATTTATATTTATAAACGTATGCTTAATATAGATAAATAATAACAGTGTTGCATTTATTGTGGTATGACTTTATAAATACACTTTACGCACGCTTTAACCACTTTACAATATCGATTACAGTATAATAATTTGAATACCTTGTGATCTCCTATTGCTTTACGTGGTAACTAACCTAACCAGCCGTCGTGTTGTGGTGATGTAAATAATAACCGTAATATAAACCTTAGAGCATTATTATTATTATATATATTTTTGTATAGTGGTTGTCTAAAGCGCGGTTTATAGAAGACGTGTATTTATAGAAGAGACGTGGCGAGGACGTGTGGCGGTGGCGATGATTAAAGAAACATAAAATAGACCTAATCTATAATAATACAACTAAACTTAGGCAGAGAATAAATAATGGTATGTACTACGTAACTTGAGTCGCGAGCCACGTATTGGCGTTGGCTCGCCACCTAGAGGCGGTGACGTCACCTGGATGCGCGGGCGCACTTCTCTTTCCGACAAAAACGACGCTATGTGATATATGTATTAGGTAAATTTTATGTTTCCTTGATTATCCGCCACTGCCACACGCTCTCGCCACGTCTCTTCTACTAACCTCGCCTAAGAGAATTCACGGCTCCATTACGTCCCGTGGCTGTCGTAAGAGGCGACTATGGGAAATTTCAGAAAAAATATTATGGGTCCCGATAAATGGCGGCTATCTTGTTTACACCAGACGTAAATCAGACTGGCGAAGCGCAGCAGCGTCACAGGTGCCAGCTGTTTGATACTGTTATCTTCGTCTGCCAAGCCATACGATTAAAGCGGGCTACATACGAGACGATATCGGTAGCGATCTAGGGTGGAAAGAAATCGGGGCTTTTATCGAGGCAGACCCTACACACGGGCCTGCCTAGCAGTACGCGGTTGGACTTGGAGCGGAACGCATATGCGGTAGAGTTCTTCAAAATGCCTCGAACTCTCTTAAAACACCAACGTGTTGGTTTGGAATTAGCCCTCTCGGTTAATTTATTCTAAAATAGAAAAAGAGGAGTTGCTGGGTGAAAAATGGCTCCAAAAGAGACAACAATTAAGCCACATAAACGTACTAAATGGTCTGTAATCCAAAGACATGATTAATTTTCTCCGGATGGATGAAGACAGTTTTTACAACCTTCTAGAATTTTTCTACATTTATGATTTCGCAACTTATATAAAAACATCAATTTCTCCTACCTATGCTATTTAGTTATTTCTTCTCTTTGTTCATTTCTGCTTTGGTCAAAATCGGGTTATGTAATACACACAACGAACAAAGAAATAACAAAATCGGGTTATGTACTACACACAAAGAAATAAAATACTTTTGTATAATAATATGTATACTTTTTTAATGTAATCTTTATTTATGGATTAAAACTATCAAAAAATAAAATAGCTTATATCTTTTATCTTTTAAACATAAAGAAACCTTTAATTTCGGACATATTCCCTTCTATATAGCTTGTTTGTTGATGTGGAGATGGTGAAGGAGTAGGAGTTAGTTGTTGATGAGAGGATGAACGCTCGTAAGAGATATGAGTGCGGTCTTGTGTTGATAGCGTTGGAATAGGAGTTAGTTGTTGAGGAGAGACTTTATCTTCTCCTTACTTACTTCATACACCCTACTTTATGAGCGGCAATAAAATAATTAGTTTAACAGGCATTCTTGACTTCGCAAGGTCACAGGCTAGGGTGGATATGATTTGAATTTCGATAGATTTTAATTAATTTATTTATTCAGATTTTTTTTGTATTTTGTAAAATATCAGTGCCATAGGCTTGGCACTGATATTTTACAAAATACAAAAAAAAAAGGCTACTCCGTTCACATGTTTAAAATGTAAAATTTTTGTTATGTAAAAAAGGTCATTTAGTATCACCGTTTCGTTAACGTCCTTCCGCGAGGGCTGCCGGCAGCGACTGGCAAAAGAAATCGGGCCGATGCGCCTACACACACGCAGTACGGAGGGGGCGGTGCCCCGATCTAGGAAGCATCGGCTGATCTAGGAAGCATTTTTGCTCCTGCCAGCCGATTAAGGAGGCGATATCGGCCACGACTTAGGATGGCCCTACATACGACACGATTTAGAGGCAATCTAGGAGGCATCCCCACTACTCCACCCTAGATCGCCTCCGATATCATGTCGTATGTAGCCCGCTTAAGGCAAATCCTTTCTGCAACGGAAGAGGCCTATATCCAGCAGTGGACTTTACATGCTGATGATGATGCAGAAGAAAATCATTGTTATAGACTATTACACACGTTGACGAAATATGTTATTATTCAATCGTGCTGGTTTTCTGATGATGGTTTCGTTTTACGCTGAATACTTGGTAGAATAACACTTAATTTCCGCCGTCGGCCGCCCCCTTTATTGCATGTGCCGTTTGCTGGCATCAATTAGGCACGTAATGCGCCTATAAACCGATCATTACAGCCCTTCACAAGTCCACTGCTGAACGTGGACCTCCCCCAGGGAATGCCACAAGGCACGATTCTGAGCCGCATGCGTCCGTCGACTTCTTATATGTCTTACCAGGTCGTTACTCCATCTAGTAGGACTCCCTACACAAAAATAAATAAATAGTAATGAACATAAATCAACTCTATTATAATATGAAAATGAATTCATACTTTGCATCATTTAGTATAATCATTCCTTACTTGATTGTTGAGTGTAAATTTGACATAAGTGTAACGGTTTAGAAAAATAAATAAATAAACAGGTGTGATATTTCATATTTCATTAAATTAAATTACTTAAAAGAGTGTTAATATCTGTGAACATATATATATATATATATGTATAATTAGTACATACATATTATAATAAATCCAAAGAATAGTTAAATTGTACCGTCCATAATATATTTTGTTTATATAACTGAAAAAAACCTTTAATAGGCCTTACATTTAAGCTGTATACTTAAAGTCCTTAAAATTGTTAAATCGCTGTTGGTTTTTTTAATAAAAAAAATTTCCTATCAACAATTGCATCGGTGCAGGCTGGGATCGAACCCAGAATGCTCACATACTGTGTTGTTACGGCTAGCGTTTAGCTTTTTATAACAGCCTATTAAAGTCCACTGCTGAACATAGGCCTTTCCCACAAGGGGATTCTACCATAGTTGCCATGCTTAGTAGGTAGGTTAGCAACCGCAGATTTTTATTAAGATGCTGATGCCCATCTCCTGTAACTGGTGCCCTCTATCGTCTCTTACGACATCCACGCCACGGGACGATATGGGGTAGTGGGTGTTCTTACAACGCCATTATAAGGTAACTTAATTAAGTAATAAATAATTCGAATGCAATAAGCTAAAGTACAAATTGTACTTACTTAGCCCTTCTCATAGCTCCAGCTTTCATATCGTCTGTGTAAAGTTTGAGTAGAAGGGCTTCCTCTTGGATCTTCATATTTTGCGCATCGATTCGTGCTGTCCATTTGTTGTTTGCCTGTTATAGAAACAATTATTTTTTATTAATGCTGACATTTTTTAATAATTACAACAAATAATAAAAATATTGACAGTGTAGGTTTATGTTGAAAAAATCGTAAAAGAATACTTCGTTTAAAAGGTTAAACCAAGCATTATATAGAGTAGTAATAATCGGCAAAATTTATAGCAACTCCAGCAAGTTGTCGATTAGGAGCTTCAGTCATAGGGCAGGACGTATGCACGATTCTTTAGTATAAAGTAAACAGACGATACAATGATCATGAACTTTCCGGTGGATGTAAGCTCTTTCGAGTCGATGATGTTCTTGCTATACAATCGGAAGCGAGCTTACAACCCAGTACAACCGTTGTCTTCACCTTTTGCTCTCATTCTTGGTGAAATCTATGCTCGAAACGAGAGGACTTGTAGCGCCGGTATTGTTTTAAGATAGCGTCTGGCATAAACTTAGTAAATATGTAACATCTTTTATAATAGGAACCTATAAAAATAAATATTTGAAACAAATTAAAATATTTATGATTTTTTCAAATTAAAATTGTTCGAAAATTAAAATAGCTATGTAAAGCATCTGCCTGCGTGGCAACTATGGCAAACTCTCCACACTTCCCTACCCGACACCCATAAATTGCCTCATGGCAGGGGACAGGTGGATGTTTCCCAGTGGTCTGTTATGACTTATGAATTAATGAATTAAAAAAAGAAATAACCGATCCCGTTTTTAAATACCTCCTCCTCCAACAGCTTCTGTTTTGCTTCACGTTCTTGTTTAAGTCTGTTGATCCGCTTTTTCTCATTTGTCCTCCACTGTCGGATCATTGTGATCTTTCGCCGAAGTTCCATCTCGGCTGCTGCCTGTACCCTTTGTTTGATTCTGTTCTCCTTCTCCCGGGCACGAGCTGCTCTTTCACGGCGTTTCCTTTCATTAAATTCTGCTAAATATCGCATTCTAGCTTGAATGTTTCTTTCTTGCTCTTTTGCTCTAAAATAGGGTGATAGACATTCATGTTAATTTAAATAGTTTAAAAAAAACTAATATTACGGAAATGGTCGGGTTCAATTTTTATTTATTTCTAATTTCCAACGTTTCGAGTGCGTTACATGCAGTCACCTGCATCCATCGACTTCCTGCATATCTTAACCAGGTATTTAATACAACTATCCGACCGGTCCATCGCCACTCCAGGTTACAAATCCACTTTTAGCTTACAATAAATTATTAATTAAAATAATAATTTGTGTTGTTGTATAAAAGTTTACAGTATTTCTAAGCCTGGGCATTGGTATGCATAGTTTTGGATTTTGTTTTTATTATTTTTAATCACCAATCGGAAGCTTAATTTTTTATTTTATTTTAACAGCCTCACGAATCATCCTAAGTACTTTTCAGAATCTAACACTTTTGCGAATCAGGGAATATAGGACAAACAAAAAGATCAATTAGGACCCGCGTAAAAGAACATATAGCTGATGTGAAGCATCAACGTTCCGGGAAGTCTGCAGTTTGTGATCATATCCTAGACGGACCCAACCATTACATCAGATTTGATAGACCACAAATCCTCGCGAAAGAACACCGATTCCTACCAAGGATGATACGTGAGGCTATTGAAATTAAAAAACATCCTAATTTCAATAGAGAAGGAGGCTGGGTACTACCACCTGCTTGGGATCTTATAATCAATAAAATTAAAACTAAACCCAAGCATACCACTGCAAGACCTCAGGACATAGTCAGTTCATTTTGCATAGATCGGACCATAAACAATAATTAAAAAAGCTGAAGGTACTCCGGGTTTAACAATGACATCGGGACGTCAGTCATCTCAGTCCCCCGTGACCATGGGTGCTGGAAAGCGCCCGAAACGTCGGGAATTAAAAATAAAAGTAAATAAAAAGTAAAAATAAACGCGATAAAATCCGTAAAAGGAATCAGAAAAGTTAAGAAGTAGTATCGGAGATGCGAAGACATTTACAAGGATTTTTTTTAAGGGGATTTAAACTTGGGAAATCCGAACAATTAAGCTATTGCTATTAACTCTAAATAAAGAATCTTAGATGCCTCAAGCTTGATTTGACAATTTAAGTAGAAAAGATAGTGCATGCCGTGTAGGTACAGATAGTTTTTATTAATGACTGTTAAGAAAGTACTTCTTAACAGTAAGATCTTTAAGGTTTTGCTATTAGTAAGATCTTTAAACGGAAAACTAATTAAAAGGAAAGTAATAACCTTAATAAATGAGCAGCAAAAATTGTTTACAAAAACTCTTGGTACGTATTCTGTTTATTAATACGGGAAAAGACGTTAAGGCAGGGGTAAGACTGCGCTCGGTTGCGTTATTTTAATTAAGACGACTTGACGGGGCTTTTTGATAAATGTAGAGCAGAGCGTTCGCGATGAATTTTTCACCACAAAATTCTCTTTAAAATCACATAGTTTTGGAAATAAACTCTCTATATGCACACTAAATCTATCTATATTAAATAAAAATACAAAAAATGTTTCTATCTATGTCCGTTATAGACTTTGAAACCATCCAATCGATGTGAACCAAACCAGTTTCATTAGAAAAGCAATAATTCGAAGATGGTTTTAGACCACTAAAACAGTGCATTATCCGATCAGGATTATCCGAGGTCCGAAGAGAGGGGGAGGACACGGTGATTCTCGAATCCGGCAACTTGTTCTATCACCGGGAGGGCGACCATCTGTCCCAAGGAGGTGTCGGATTTATCGTCCACAAGTCTCTCGTCAACAACGTTGTACAGATTGAGAGTGTGTCGACGAGGGTCGCGTACCTGATACTCAGAATCACCAAAAGGTATTCGCTGAAGGTCATACAGGTTTACGCACCAACGTCGGCACATTCCGATGAGGAGGTGGAGGAAATGTATGAGGATATTTCCAAAGCCATACATTCCTCCAAAACCCACTACACGGTGTTGATGGGAGACTTCAACGCAAAACTAGGCACAAGAGAAAACGGTGAGCTGAAGTTAGGGAAATTTGGAGTAGGGCAACAGAACCGAAGGGGCCAGCAGCTGGCCGACTTCATGGAGAAAGAGGGACTCTTTATGATGAACTCTTTCTTCCAGAAGCGGCCCCACAGGAAGTGGACCTGGTCGAGCCCCGACGGTTCGACAAAAAATGAGATTGACTTCATTATGACGACCAGACGCCAACTGTTCAGTGATGTCTCAGTGATCGCAAGGGTGAAAACTGGCAGCGATCACCGAATGGTTAGAGGCACACTGAACCTAAACGTTAAGTTGGAGAGGTCTCGTCTAATGAAGTCAACGCTCCGTCCCCCCTCGTGCTCTGATCCAAAATCCCGAAAACTTTCAGCTCGAGTTACACAACCGCTTTCAGTGCCTACAAGATTGCAATGCAGTGGACGATATGAATGACAAGCTCGTGGAAACTGTCCATGCGGTCGGAGCTAAGTTCTGCAAGACCCGCCGCAGAAGAACACAAAAACTCTCCGATCACACTCTTAATCTCATGGCTGTTAGACGGGAGATGAGGCTGCAATCGTCAACAGATTTGACAGCATACAGGCAACTGAACAGACAGATCTCCAAATGCATGCGGCGAGACTTACGCAACTTTAATACTGCTCGTATTAAAGAAGCGATCGAGCGGAACCAGGGCTCCAAAGTCTTTGCCAGAGATCTGTCTGCCAGAAAGAGCCAACTGTCAAGGCTGAAGACTGAGTGTGGCAGCATCGTTTCCGGGACACCTGAGATTTTGAGTGAGATTGAGAGGTTCTATGGGCAGCTGTACACATCATCGTTGGAGCCACACGCAAGTGTGAGTAACGATCCAAGAGCAAGTCTTATCCGACACTATTCCGATGATATCCCGGACGTCAGTCTAAGCGAGATTAGAATGGCTCTCCAGCACCTTAAAAACGGCAGGGCCCCAGGCGAGGATGGAATTACAGCGGAGCTTCTGAAAGCGGGTGGAACACCGGTACTTGAAGTCCTTCAGAAGCTCTTCAATTCCGTCCTCCATGGTGGCACTACTCCAGAGGCGTGGAGCAGAAGTGCGGTGGTCTTGTTCTTTAAGAAAGGTGACAACGCTCTCTTGAAGAACTACAGACCGATTTCCCTTCTGAGCCGCGTCTACGTGCTGTTTTCGAGAGTCATTACGAATCGTCTCGCACGCAGACTCGACGACTTCCAGCCTCCCGAACAAGCCGGTTTCCGAAAAGGCTTCAGTACCATAGACCACATACATACCCTGCGGCAGATTGTACAGAAGACTGAAGAGTACAATTTGCCACTTTGCCTGGCGTATGTGGACTATGAGAAAGCCTTTGATTCCGTCGAAATTTGGGCGGTGCTGCAGTCCCTTCAGCGGTGCCAAGTTGACTGTCGGTATATCGAAGTGCTGAAGTGTTTGTACAGTAGGGCTACGATGGCTATCCGAGTACAGAACCAGAGCTCGAAACCTATCCAACTGCAGAGAGGTGTAAGACAGGGTGACGTTATATCCCCGAAACTCTTCACCGCTGCTTTGGAAGACGTTTTCAAGCTACTGGACTGGAAAGGATACGGTATTAACATCAATGGCGAGTACATCACTCACCTTCGATTTGCCGACGATATAGTCCTTATGGCAGAATCGCTGGAGGACTTAAGCACTATGCTCAATGACCTCAATAGTGCCTCCCAACGGATAGGTCTTAAGATGAACATGGACAAAACAAAGATTATGTTTAATGTCCATGTCACACCTATGCCGGTAGTTGTTGGGAGCACTATGCTCGAAGTTGTTGACGAGTACGTTTACCTGGGACAAATATTCCGACTAGGTAAGTCCAACTTCGACCGAGAGGTCAATCGACGGATTCAACTCGGCTGGGCAGCGTTCGGGAAATTACGACATATCTTCTCGTCAGGTATACCTCAATCTCTGAAAACTAAAGTGTACAACCAGTGCGTGTTGCCAGTGATGACTTACGGATCAGAGACGTGGTCCTTCACTGCTGGCCGTATGAGGACGCTCAAGGTCGCTCAGCGAGCTATGGAGAGGGCTATGCTCGGAGTTTCTCTGCGTGATAGACTCAGAAATGAGGATATCCGCAGTAAAACCAGATTGACCGACATAGCCCAACGGATTAGTAAGCTGAAGTGGCAACGGGCCGGCCATATAGCTCGAAGAACCGATAACCGATGGGGAAGAAAGGTTCTCGAGTGGCAGCCTCGTACCGGTAGGCGTAGTGTAGGGCGACCCCCCACTAGATGGAGTGACGACCTGGTAAGATATGCAGGAAGTCGATGGATGCAGGTGGCTCAGGACCGTGCTTTGTGGCATTACTTGGGGGAGGCCTATGTTCAGCAGTGGACTTGTGAGGGGCTGTGATGATGATGATGATGATGAAAACAGTGCATTAAGCACTACATAAAAATTAAAAAGTAAAGTTAAAGTTACAGCCTATATAAGTCACACTGCTGGGCAAAGCCCTTCCATCATCCCTGAGAGGGTTTTTAGGGCAAGGAAGTGTCCGCCGCGCTGCCCCAATGCGTGTTGGCGAACTTCACATATCTTCATAATATTTTTTTCTTATTTCTCAGACATGCAGATTTCCTCACGATGTTTTCCTTCACCGCCGAGAAAGTGGTAAATCAGTACTTAAAATTGCAATTAACAATTTCATAAGTGCCGGCGGGTTCGAACTCGAGTGGCTCGCGTACTGTGAAATTTACAACGAGCGCTAACCATCTGAGCTACCACGGCTCTCTTATAATTTTTTTTACAAATAAACAAAATTGCCTCGTTTTCCAGCAAATAAAAAAATGATTTTCTTGTTTTAGCGTAGTAGCACACGCTGAGTATCCGCTAATCCGGAAGTACAGTAGGGTCTCGGTAATCCGGAGAGGCAAAAACAAGGCCCTTTCCGGATTATCGAGGCATCCGGATTATAGTATGCCATATTTAGTGGTTATAAAACACATGTTTGACCTTAGTTTCTTTAA